AAAAAAAAAAAAAAAAAGAAATGAAGGTTCAGAGCTCTATCCTCTGAAGTCAGTATTTCCAGTGTCAAAATGGTTTTGAATGAAAAGCAAAATGCAGCAACCTACAAACCTTGGACCCCAGGCAGGAATGTGGCTGGGACACTTGGCCAGCTGAAGTCTAGTGCATATTGGGCGGGGGGCAGGGAAACCGTCCCCCACTGTTTCCTCATTATCTAATGAACTCTGGAACCTAACTGGGACAGCTCTTGTTCACTCCCTCAATTTTTCCTAAAACACTGGATAAAACTCATGCTGGTCACACTGTCTCCCCTCTCCTGGGTTTCATTTTAGTGAATTTTAGGTTTGTTTGGGAGAACTGCAAGGAGAATGAAAAAGACACTATCCCCTTCAGCTCCCTGGAGCTCTATGGTAACTGTGTATCTTTGGAACCAAAGAATTCAGAAACATAAAATGTTATCATGGGGGGGAGGGGGTCTTTGAAAGTCAATTTATTCAATCTTCTACCTGATAAACCTCACTTCCTACAGCATCTTGGACTGAGGTCATCTATACTTTACCTACACAGCGCTAGTAAAGAGTGCATTACCTCTCAGAACGGCCTCCAGGACTTGGTAGCAGAGGCTCTTCAGCAGGACTGGTATGGGTTTGCACACTAGCACACCTAGCTCTCTGACCTGGCAAAGTTCATTTCTCTAAGCCGCATTCTCCTTATCTAAAAATGGGATAAAAATGGTACTGTCGAGTAGCAGTTAACAGCTTATGCTCTAGAGTTGGGACTGCCCAGCTCTGCCACCTACTAGCTGTTTAAATTTGGGCAAGTTTAATCTCTCTGTATTTCAATTTTCTCACCTACAAAATGGCCATAATTACAGTATCTACCTCACAGGATTCTCTCATGATTAAAGGAGATGATAAATGTGAAGTTCCTGGAATAGTTTAGTTATTGGCTTACAGAAAGCACTGGGTTAATATTAGTTGTTACCTTTATTATTTCCCACATGAGAAGACTATTACAGGGTTTGCATAAGACAAAGTGTCTAAAGCCTTTAGCATAATGCCTGCTACTAAGAGCTCAATCATGTTGGCGATTTTGGATCTCTGGAGCCACAGAGATCAAATCTGTTCCCTCTTCAACCTGAATGCCCCTCAAATATTTAAGGAGCTCACCACATCATTTCTCAGATTTCTCTTTTAAAGGTCAAACTATGTAGAGATTCTTCAAAAGGCACGGTTGTCAGGTCTTCTGACATATCCTGATCAGCTGCATTTAGGGTTGCTGCATTTTGTCTCCCTCTTAAAAATGTGACACCACTGGACACCAACTATGATCTGACCAATAAAAATTCAATGAAACTACCAATTCACATGGCCTAGATATTATAAGTACCATTTCCCATAATCTGGATATAGTTATTAACATAATCCAAGTATGTATTGGCATTTTTAGCAACTGCATCACACTATTAATGAATATTAAGATGGGAATGCAAGCTGGTGCAGCCACTCTGGAAAACAGAATGGAGGCTCCTCAAAAAACTAAACAGAGAACTACCCTACGACCCAGCAACTGTACTACTGGGTATTTATCCAAGGGATGCAGGTGTGCTGTTTCAAAGGGACACATGCACCCCCATGTTTATAGCAGCACTATCAACAATAGCCAAAGTATGGAAAGAGCCCAAATGTCCATCGATGGATGAATGGATAAAGATGTGGTCTATATATACAATGGAGTATTACTCAGCAATCAAAAAGAATGAAATCTTGCCATTTGCAACTACATGATTGGAACTGGAGGGTATTACGCGAAGTGAAATCAGTCAAAGACAAATATCATATGACTTCACTCATATGAGGACTTTAAGAGACAAAACAGATGAACACAAGGGAAGGGAAACAAAAATAATATAAAAACAGGGAGGGGGACAAAACAGAAGAGACTCATAAATATGGAGAACAAACTGAGGGTTACTGGAGGGGTTGTGGGAGGGGGGGAATGGGCTAAATGGGTAAGGGGCACTAAGGATCTACTCCTGAAATCATTGTTGCACTATATGCTAATTTGGATGTAAATTAAAAAAAATATATATATATACATATATATATACACATATATATATATAAAGCTTCTGATAATTAAGATATCCACACACCTTAATTAATACTATTAACCTGATCCCTGTGTCTCCATCTTATTGAATTCACAGCTTTAACTCCAAACTATGTCTTTTTCCCTCCTCAGTTCTGTTTTAGAAGATAGGAGGAAGCTCCGAAATTTCCGTTATGAGTAGTCCTGCCTGAATTGAGTAATTGTCATTTTCCATGGACTTGAACCACCAGACTTGAGAGTACTAAGAGATGCTTTAGGGGACTCCTATATTCCTGATGTACTCCTTCTTCCCCCATTCTGCAGTAGTGGTCCAATTTCCCCTTGACAGTCAAGATCGAAAGAAAATGAATAAATATCCCTATTATCTTCTAATCATATCACAAATAAAAACTGTGTCCAGCACAGAGCCAGTAGCACAGTCCTGCATCACTTCACTAAAATCTTCATCCAGGTCAGTGTGTGATTTTAGCAATGCACTCAAGAAACAATGTGCAGTAAATTAAGTGTTGAGGCTAGGTGATGAGAACACGGGAACTCATCTATTTTCTCTTTTGTGTGTATTTGAAAATTTGTATAGTAAGACTTCAACAAAATAGGATGTAAATATCAGAAGAACATCTGATTCTTGTTACATTATGTAACAACATAAGGATGTAAATATCAGAAGAAACTAAAGTTAAAAGTATTCTGTTAGGGAACAGGACTCAGGTACAGGGGGAAACTGAACAGAGGACAGTTGTTTTTCCCTTTCAACTTTTAGTACTTTTGGACTTAAGTATGTACATATGTTACTTTCATAAAAACACAAATTTAAAAAAGGAGTGCATCAAATTAAAGTCAACGCCTCCAAAAATTATCACTGAGTCACGGACACCCAATGTTTTTAATGTCATCAAATGACATCTACTGCGGGAACTTCACTCTACACAAAATATTTAATGCGTCTGATAAAAAGTATGTGTATATGTCTGCAAATACATGTATACATATGTATGTGTGCCTATATATACACACACATCTCCATAAAGTACAATTTTCCTGCATCTTTAAGTTTAAACCTAAAAAATTTAAAACAAAACCAAAAAAACTTCTAAAAATTAAGCCTCCTAGAGATTGTCTAACCTCTTCTCCGGTAATGAGTAAGTACATTTGATCTTATAACCAAATATTTTCCATATATTTAGAGTCAGTGTAAGATCCAAGAATATAAAGTATCTAAACACTTTCATTACGGGTACTTATAAACTCACTTGGTAAGTGATTGAGCTTTCTGCTGTAGGAAAGTATCTCTGTGTATTTTAATGGCTTGAAGACTTTTTCTGTCTAGAAGTTTGGCAGCTGCTGGTATTTTCTGGATCAAAAAATTATCAGGAAACCAAATAATATTAGCAGTTAGAGTGATGGCTGGTACCTGAAATAGTAAATGTAAGAGAGGGAAATCAATAAATTCAGGCTAACAGTAAGCTGTTTAATAGTCCTACAATACACAACGGGAAGACAACTTACAATCATTTATACATATGACACAAATTATCTTACTGTGGCACAATTAAGGCATTCTAATATCTGATATGGGGCATGAGAAAGTTTTATTCTGCCTAAATATTAAACACTTACACACTTACATCATGGATATTCAGATAAAAATATGCAAAAAGCAAACAGAAACTTCAATCTTCACCACTTTTACTTTTATTCTATATTAGTGAAAAAATAAAAGACCCAAGATGGCTGGATTCTCATGGTCACATATCACTTGATTTTACACACAAAGTTTTCAATTTTGAAATCAGGTGTGTCACATCATGGAAATAGCAAAGATGTAAAAAAAAAAAAAATTTAAATTTTTTTCCACTTCAATAATGAGAAGGAATGGCAAGAAGAGGAGAAGAACCAAAGAAAAAGAAAACAGCAGTGACAGTAATAGGAAGTTAATTTATAGGAAAAAATCTGGAAGAACTTCCACAAATAGGTATTTATATGATGTGGAATTATGCAGTACTTCCATTTACTATGTTACTTATTTCTGGAATGCTTGGTTTTTGGGTTTTAAAAAATGCTTATTTTCAGAGAGAGAGGGAGCACGAGGGATGGGCAGAGAGGAGAGAGAATCTCAAGCAGGCTCCACGCTGTGGGCACAGAGCCCAAAGTAGAGCCCGATGCAGGGCTCAAACTCACAAACCATGAGATGATGGCTTTTGCCAAAATCAAGAGTTGGACGCTCAACCCACCCAGGTGCCCTGGGAATGCTTGGTTTTTAAAAATTCTTATGGTATTATTTTTATAATTATTACAAAGTACTGTAAAAATTACTATTTTTATAATCAGGAATAAAATACATTTTAGAATATCCAATTTTATCCAAAATCTTTTTCACCTACTCAAGCTGAAAAAAAAAGTTCCAAGTTCTTACCTTCTTACAAATGTCCAATAAAGATTTATAAAACTTTTTATCAATAGTCCGAAAAATTTGAAAATGCAGTACAAAGAGTCCACAAATTCCAACGTACTTGTCTCTCTGGTCAATTTCAGAAGGTTCTCCTTATAAAACAACAGCATGTGAGAAAAATATACTTAATTCTACATTCAAGGAAATGCAAACTTTATCAACAAAAATTTAAAAAATGCATTTTACGTTACCAAGTTTGGCTTCTACATTTGCAAAAATTGAGCGAATACTATGTGCAAATTCTTCAGCAAACGTGCTATTTTTTGACACAGATACTCCTCCATTGAGAGAATCAAACTGCTGTTCTATACAGGCCTAAATAGGAAACATTTAAAGGGAAATTTAAACTTTCAATAAGTTATTAAACAGACTTAAATATACACCGTGTGACAAACTTCTAAATTCATCATTTTAACCTCAGTAACACTGAGGCTCAAGTTTTTACCTTAATGTCACCTAATAACTAAATCCTTTTGAGTGAAAAATATGTACTTATGTACTTAAGTACCTAGTTAGTGAAATACAACTGAACCACAAATCCAAAATTCTACATGAAGAGATACACACAGTGATGCTCAGTGACGTGTGGAAGATGTATCTGATGAAGCACGGAAAACGTTTTATTATTTTACCATGCACTTTTAAGAGAAGAGTGTATTTTTTCTGATGATTACTTTCCTAGCACTTTATTACAGCATGTATCAGAATGTCTTCTGGAAAAAGACTCAATGACAAAAAATTATCTTCTGAATCGAATATATTAGCTGTTAATTAGTATAAACAACAGTTGGGATCAATCTGTAAAATGTGTGATCCTCAGAATAGCATAATGTATAGATGTCAAATCACTATGTTGTATGCCTGAAACTAACATTATGTGTCAACTATATACCAACTTTTTTATTGTCATTATGTAAAAATATGTTAAAAATAACCTTGAAGCAGATTTTAAATATAAATATATTGCAATTTCTAATAAATACTACCCAAAGCAATGCTATCCAATAGAACTTTCTGTGATCATAGAAATGTTCTACATTTCTATGCTGACAGGATAGCTAGTCACAGACTAATTGTGGCTATTTTTCCCTCAGCTTTATTAAGATATTATCGATATATAACATGTAAGTTTGAAGTGTCTGCCGCAATGATTAGGTTATATATATGCAGCTATTAAGCACGTGAAAGTGGTGGAGAAAGTGAAATTTTATTTCATTTTAATTTAAACTTAAAATAGCTACTAAATAGTAGGAAGCTACCTGGACTACACAGACCCAAATTATATTCCCTGAGCCTAGGAAGAATTAAACATTCATTCATTCATTTATGGGAGAGAGAGTACAAGCAAGGGAGGGGCACAAAGAAAGGGAGACACAGCATCTAAAGCAGGCTCCAGGCTCCGAGCTGTCAGCTCAAAGCCCAACACAGGGCTTGAACCCATGAAGGCAGGATCATGACCTGTGCCGAAGTCGGACACCTAACCTACTGAGCCATCCAGGCGTCCCTAAACACACCCAAATCTAGAGTTTAACAACAAACACTAAAGCAACTGCTTAGATCTTAATCCTTGAATAGTTTTATCCTTCTACATAATTAAAAAAAAAAAAAAAAAAAAAACCCTCACCCCAAATACAACTAGTACCATTAATTTTGTTTGCTGCTAGGTACTGAAATAATTACATTTAGTACACTGACAATGTTTTAAGCCAAACACTTCTAAAGAAAACATATTTCAATGGTATGCTATCAAAGTGTCATACAGAGTTCTGAGCTGGATCAACTAATACAAGCCCATTTAGTATAGCCTGATAGAGCTGTCATACCTGAAATATCATTCCATCAAGTAACTGCCCTTCTAGCTTCAGCAAAAACTTTTCAAACGGCTTTAGCTTTTCTTCCTGAATTCCAAATTTTGAAGGATTGTGATGGACAGATTTCAGTAACCTTGTGGAAGATTAGGAGAAAGACCTTCAATTTTACTAATAATTCTTCAACTGAAAAATTTCCAAGAAATCAAAATTTTACATTTGTACTGATTGCTTGTTTGGCTCTACACATTTGAAAACCTGAACAAAACCAATGCTAATATATTTAATTTTCTAATCATGCCTTTTTTATATCATCCTAAATTCAGGTGTCTGGTACTCTCTAGATACCAGATGAACTAAATAAAATCCCTGGACTTAAATAAGTCTTAAGAATATACAATGAAATAAAACCAAGTTCAGGAAAACAACTGTTACTTGAACAGAACCCTTTCAAGAAAAAAAGAACTCTGAGTTCTAAGGTAGTCAAATTAACATTCTAATATACTTTAAGTATTAGGATGCTTTATATAAGTATACCATACTCTCAAACAAGCCCATCTGAAATTTAAAAATGGTTACTGTATGTCAGAATGGCTAACATTAACAACTCAGGCAACAACAGATGTCGGCGAGGATGTGGAGAAAGAGGATCTCTTTTGCATTGTTGGTGGGAATGCAAGCTGGTCCAACCACTCTGGAAAATAGTATGGAGGTTTCTCAAAAAAATTAAAAACAGAACTACCCTACGACCAGCAACTGCACTACTAGATATCTATCCAAAGGATACAGGTATGCAGTTTCGAAGGAGCACATGCACCCCAATGTTTATAGCAGCACTATCAACAATAGCCAAAGTCTGGAAAGAGCCCAAATGTCCTTCCACAGATGAATGGATAAAGATGTGGATAAAGATGTGGATAAAGCAGATGTATATATATACGTACATGTATACGTGTATATATATATATATA